AATGAACTTCAATCTTGAATTATTTGGATTATCTATTTTATAAAAATCTCTATTTGTATGATGAATTCTTTGATTCAGGGTTGTCCCTATGAAAAATGAGGACTAAGTTGAAGATTTAAAAGATGCCTTCTTAATTATTATTACATTATATTTGTTAAGGTGGACAATTGCATATGAACCTAAAAAGCACACTATCGAGCCTTGCAAGAATGTGAACAATTACATATGAACCCAAGAACACACTATTAGGCCCTATGTGGTAGTGAGGGCTTTGAGGTTGAGTTCAAGTTCACATCTATAAGCGAAAGATATTTGATAATGCCTCAGGTCTAAAAACCATTTACATACTACAATGCAAAACTTTGTAAAATTCGACATGTGGTAAGCAATCCATACATTTAAGCTTCTTAGGTAATTAGCGCTCAGTGAAGTTGTTCGACAGACATGCACCTGTATATCTATCACGTATCTAAAACGCATAGCACAAGGCCATGCTAATCTTAATTCAATATACACCAGCCTTTCTGAATAGTCATCATGATAGTTAGCACCCATAACCCAACCTTCCTTCTTCTTTGGCCTACCCCTCTCTCCCTTCCCCATGGCAGAGTTAATGGTGCTTTCTCCCCCATCACCTACATCTCAAAAAATCTACTTTTAAAAATTCATTGTAAAAAATGCTACTTTTCTAACTTTTATTTGACTAAATGAACAAAAATGGGGCATATTGAGATATGTAGTACAATCGTGGGGGTTAAGCGATAAAAAAAAATGAGTTTCATAGGGAAAAGTAAGAGCGAGTACGAGTTTCAACTAGGCCTGGCAATTTCTGACACGACCTGATAACCCGACACGACACGACACGAAATTAACAGGTGTTTGGGTCGACACGATAACGAATCGGGTCGTTATCAGGTAACCCGATAAGCACCTGTTAAGATAACGGGTTGATTCGGGTATACACGTGGGTAACACGATACACGATAAGCAGAATATTATTTTTATAATTTTATAACCCTAAAAAAATATTGTAATAATTATATACATTAATTTTACAATTTTATACCCCTAAAAATTATAATAAATATATATATATATATATTAAATTAACTATAAAGTTTATAATAATTATAATAATTATATATACTATAATAATTATACCCCCAAAATATTAACTATCTATAATAATTATATATATATATATATATATATTAAATTTTATAAAAACTATAATAATTATTAATTAATAATTTAATATGCATGATGCATTGCATGATTTTGCATCCATTGATGTGATTTCTTTCCATTCAATTTATTGCCGTTGCCGCCCTTTTTGAAAAAAAAAAAATGGAGGGAAAATGAAAATGTTAAGAAAAGTTGAAAATGAAACAAAAAAGTGAGGGAATTAGGGAAAGATGTTGGAGGGAAAAGTAAAAATGATAAGAAAAAGTTGAAAAGGAAACAAAAAAGAGAGGGAAAAATGAAAATTAATAGAAGTGGTGAGAATTTTTTTTTTTTTTTTTAAGTTATTAACTTTTTATCACACACATGACATATCTCACTATTTTTATAATGACACACGTGATGTATGTACTATTCCATGTACCAATCAATTATAATTTATATGTACAAAATAAATAGATTTAAATCTACTTAATAAATATATATACACACACACACACACACACACGGAACTTGATTGATGGCATATGAATTCTCCAAAACTAATTTCAACGATCCCAACCGTCAAACTTGTTTGTATATGCTTTGAGATCACATCAACAAAAAATCGTAAAAAATAAACATTCAGAGATCAAGTAACGGAACAAAGCTTTTCGACGGTTATAAACGAAAAATCACGACTTAACGGTTATTTTAACTTCGATTTTGATGATTTTTTATAGCTACACTCCTTGACCCTATATGAATACAATGTATGAATTTGATCTTCAATTTAAATATTTACACAAGTGGATACCAGAAAATCTTATGTTATACTTGATGAAAGTATAAATAAACTCTAAGAAGTGTTAGTTAATCTATTGTTTTTATGGGATACGAATTCTCTTAAACTAATTTCAACGATCCAAACCGTCAAATTTGTTTGTATATGCTTTGAGATCACATCAGCAAAAAATAACAAAAAACAAATATTCAGAGATCAAGTAACGGGACAAAGCTTTTCAACGGTTATAAACGAAAAATCACGATTTAATGGTTATTTTAACTCCGATTTTGATGATTTTTTACAGCTACACTCCTTAACCCTATATGAATATAATGAATGAATTAGATCTTCAATTTAAAATATTTACACAAGTGTATACCACAAAATCTTATGTTATACTGAATGAAAATATAAATAAACTCTTAAGTGTTAGTCAATCTATCATTTTGATGGGATACGAATTCTCCAAAACTAATTTCAACGATCCAAACTGTCAAACTTGTTTATATATGCTTGGAGATCACATTAGCAAAAAATCACAAAAAAAAAACATTCAGAGATCAAGTAACGGGACAAAGCTTTTCAACGGTTATAAACGAAAAATCACGATTTAACGGTTATTTTAACTCCGATTTTGATGATTTTTTATAACTACACTCCTTGACCCTATATGAATACAATGAATGAATTCGATCTTCAATTTAAAATATTTACACAAGTGGATACCACAAAATCATATGTTATACTTAATGAAAGTATAAATAAACTCTAAGTGTTAGTCAATCTATCGTTTTGATGGGATACGAATTCTCAAAAACTAATTTCAACGATCCAAACCGTCAAACTTGTTTGTATATTCTTGGAGATCACATCAGAAAAAAATCACCAAAAAAAAACATTCAGAGATCAAGTAACGGGACAAAGCTTTTCAACGGTTATAAACGAAAAATCAAGATTTAACGGTTATTTTAACTCCGATTTTGATGATTTTTTACAGCTACATTCCTTAACCCTCTATGAATACAATGAATGAATTCGATCTTCAATTTAAAATATTTACACAAGTGGATACCACAAAATCTTATGTTATACTTAATGAAAGTATAAATAAACTCCAAGTGTTAGTCAATCTATCGTTTTGATGGGATACAAATTCTCCAAAACTAATTTCAACGATCCAAACCGTCAAAATTGTTTGTATATGCTTAGAGATCACATCAGCAAAAAATCACAAAAAAAAAACATTCAGAGATCAAGTAACGGGACAAAGCTTTTCGACGGTTATAAACGAAAAATCAAGATTTTACGGTTATTTTAACTCTGATTTTGATGATTTTGTACAGCTACACTCCTTGACCCTATATGAATACAAAGAATGAATTTGATCTTCAATTTAAAATATTTACACTAGTGGATGTGGATATCACAAAATCTTATGTTATAATTTATATACTTAATAAAAGTATGAATCAACTATAATATTAATAATTATATACATTAATTTAACAATTTTACATCCGTAAAAAGTAAAAACTATAATAATTATATAATATAATTATATATATTAAATTAAATTTAAAAATTGAGGACCATTGGATCGGCTGAGATTAAATCTCAGCCGTCCATTTCATAATTATATATATATATATTGAAGATTTTGTAAATGGAGGTGTAAACTTTTGAGAAAGACTTACAATCTTAAAAACAAAAACTCTTTATCCTTGCACATTTAATATTTGTAATAGATTAGTAGTGTATGTATTATTTTTTTTATTAGGCTATTATTTTCGAGTGTAGATATAGTACTTGAACGGGAAATGTTTTAATGTTTTGAAATAATATTTATGTGGCAATGTGTGGTATGTGCAAATTTTTAAAAAATATATTTTTTTCTTAATGGGTCATAACGGGTCGGTTCACTTCACCCGTTGAGTAAAGTGACAGGACCTGTTAAAGACCCGTTAAGATAACGGGTGTGACACGACACGACCCGTTAAGATAACAGGTGTTACACGAAAACGACACGAACACGATAGACACGACCCATTTGCCACATATAGTTTCAACGGGAGTTGAAGTAAATAAACCTAAACTTAAATTTGGTTATTTCCTTTTTTGGATTTGCGTTGACTGTAAGGAAGGAGGAAAATAAATAAAATACCGTTTGAATCTACTATGCGTATTACAATTGGTTTTTTTTTTATTGTTTTAATTTTAGATTTTGCTGTTTTTATTAAAATATATATTTTGAAAATTAATGAATTTGCTAACCACCTTGCATGTTTTTTTTTTTTCTCGGATTTTCAATTTAATTTGGGAGAAGAGCAATTTAAGTATTATGAAAGCTTCATTTTTTTTTGCCTCATCCTTTTATATATATATATAGATGACCACGCCACCAAAACCAATTTCTAAGTTACAACGAAAACTTAAATTCCTTTGTTTTCTTATATTGTACTAAACATAACTTACATAAGAGATTTTAACCATATTAAGACCAGTACGATTGAAGAAAATATAACTAAATGTCATGCCATTTTGGGTATTACAAAAACAAACTATTATTATGCGACCAAAGAGAGTGCTTCTTAGTTCAACTTCTTACCAAAGTGAATTTGAGATCATTATTTCCAAACATTTCATAGATTGACAATTCATTCTTCAATAAATATAGCTTAAATTTGCTTATCACTCTATTTAGGTGGTGAATATTACCACTCCTCCTTAAACGAGCCACATATTTATAGTTTAACCATAGTTAACTAGTTTAATTTTCTTTATATAACAAAATAACTTGCCGCATAGTACTACGGTCTAGTGGTATTCCTATTTACTTGTAAGTGAGAGGTCTTAGGTTCGATTTTTGTCAAAGTTGAATTTAAACCACATTATTGCTAACTCATTGTGAAGCTAAACCCATCCCATCCCCTATGATGTAGATAATATCGTTTGTTAAAAAAATAAAAAAAAAACCACTTAATGATTATATCATGATTCCTTTTGATCTCCTAGATTATTTTGCATCATCAATGGTTCTAAATAACAAAATAACTTAATGAATTGTCATTTATTTATTAATTTAATTCGTTCTAACTTTCCAACATCAGGTCTCTCAACCTTTATCTCCAACCAACGATAATTTTACACTCATATAAAAGGAAAATCACACATAAACCTTTGCATCTTATTTATTTACTTCCTCCAGGACAGGCTCCAAAGATTAAAGTCATCCTCCTGGACTCCTTAAACGCCTCCATTGATTTCTTCCAGGACAGGTTCCAAAATCATCCTCTTAAACTCTTTGTCAAACGCCTCCATGCATGAGAAGGGCAAACATATCGGTACTACAACTCCATATTCCTCTTTTAGGCTGTTGTCCTGAACATAGAAGGTAATTAGATTGACAGACTTGGCGATTCCGGCAAATATTGGCTTTCCCCAGCCGAAGTTTACCTCCCCAAAACCAGTACGCGTGTTATCAGAAACTATAAGGACATTCCATGCCATTGGAAGTGGAGGTTGTCCTCTTATTACGAAAAGATCTGCCAATGATTTCATGTACTCTTCACTCATTTTAGATTTCAAATTCTTCACCAACTCCACGGCATATCCCAACGGATTTTCACATAAAAGTCCCACCTTTGAAACGACAGTTGGAATTGCAAATGCATTACCATAGTATCCCAAAGGAAGACATAAAGTGTTGTGCTTCCCACGGGCATTGACCGCGCATGAAAGGCGGACAATCTCTTCCGGATTCAATCTCAGTGAAAGTGTGCGACACTTCCAAACACAAGCTGTTATCAGCTCAAACCTGGAGGAAGTGGAAAGGTGTGCCGGAAGTTTTTCCCTAATTGCTTTTATCTCCTGTGGACCAAAATAGAAAGATCGTTGGACCAACGAGCCCTCGTCTTTGGTTAAAAGAAATGAGCTTTCTGGATTGCTTATGTGCTCATATTCATAATGTGTGCATGTAATTCGTGGTGAATGTCGGGCATCCAAGAGGTCTCGTTCCCACACCGGCGGGATAGAGGGTGAATGTGTGCCTTGAGCCATCTCTCCAACTGCGTTCAAGAATTGGGCCAACCCCACGGCGTCAAACATTGTGTGGTTTACGCGCGATGCAAATATGAAGCCTCCACACTTCAGGCGAGTCACCTGCATTATTTAGTGCAGCAAATACTTTCTGAATTAATCTTTAGACTTTCCCTTGATTTAAATTGACAGGAGCACCCACTTGCTATATCCTAAAATGTTCATAAAAAAATTTTACCAAACAAAACAAAAGATGAACATATGAATGTAAAGAAGAAAAAAAAAATTGGATATGTGCTTCACAACACGTTACACTTATACGTGATTATCTACACAAAAAAAACTGCGTACACTTGCTTGATAGATAGATTATATATGTCTGCCAACACGTAATGCAAATTAGCATACTTCTATTTGTATGTTCATTTATTTGCTAAAATTTTCCTCACAAAGAAGTTGACTGACCTGAACTAAAAACCGAAAAAAGAAAACAACAAAAACTATAAGAGCAATGCTAGATAGTCTAAATTTGTAAACTAAATTTGAGAATTAAATGATGTGTCACCAATAAAAATAAGCACATTAATCAACACTTAAGTAATACTTCAATCATCAACTTCCATGTCATTTAGTTTCCAAAATTTAGTCTTCCTACTTTACCCATGCTAACGAGACTAAATTTGTAAACGAAATTTGCAAACTAAATAATATGTCACAAATAGAAATAAATATGTTTATCAACCGTTAAGTAATAACCAATCATTAATTTCTATGTCATTTAGTTTACAACTTTAGTCTCCCTAGCATTACCTTTACCCAAACTATAAACCTGATCTTTTACGATTACAAACTGAAAAAGGAAGCAGAAACTAAAACCAATATAAGACACAAATAATTTATGAGGTGGATCTCGAACCTCAACATTTAGCTATTTTCCATCCGAAAAAAAAAAAGGCTTCTACATTTGGCTATTATGCACATATACACACATTTTATCTATAGATCATTTTAACAATCTAATGAGTTAAAATATGACACATCATCTACCACTAAATTTAATTAGTTTCATTTTATTTTCTATTGTTTTAACAGAGGTTAACCTAGTTACTTCTACCGTTAGCTTATTCGATAGATTGTCCTCTTGATTCCCAATAATGCAGACCATTACAACAAAAGAAGTGATTTCACACACCTTTTTTTAGTTTCGCATACACTCCTCTTTATTTATGGCCATTGTATTGAACAAATTCAATGGAATCAAAGGCTATGAAGCAATTTTCACATACGTTTTTTTAGCTTCCCTTCTTTATTTATGGTCATCAGATTAAACAAATTCAACGAAATCAATGCCTGTAATTGAACAAGATGTGTAATAGGGCTAAAAAAGGTGTGTGAAAATCAATTCCCAATAAGAATGGCAACCTCGGTCAAGGAAAGAAAAACATATGGTTGTGAAGTATCACATAGAGTGGTGCTATCTGAAGAAAGCTGGGGTTCCACCATAAAATCAATTGGTAATATGGGGAGTAACCCAACCACTTATAAGCCCTTACATGGTTTGATCCCTCATTGATGTGAGACTTTGTCCTCACATTCTCACACACCACTTCAAGCGTAAGATATGGTCAACACAAATAGGGTGGCGTGGAACATGTGCGGTGGTTAAGCTTCACAGTGGGTCATCCTACTCTGATACCATGAAGAAAATTAGGGTTCCACTATAAAATCAATTGCAATATGGGGAGTAGCCTAAACTCTTATAAGCCCTTACATGGATTTAACACTTTCCTCACATTCTCACACTATCCACACACTAGTGCTCTTTTTTACCTCCGACACACCCATCTCAATTTTCAGCCGTATGATTGAATGAATTGAAGATCAAAGGATAAAAATTAACAAGGGATGTGTGGGAGGTAAAAATTGGTGTGTGGATAGCACCACCGTGCGTTTCACATAAACTGATCCGGTTAAACGTCAAACGAATAAAATCAATTTTTATGGGATTTGTGAGACATTTGTTAAAATGTTGAATCTCTTTTATTCTTATACTAAGCTTTTATTGATCTGTTGGATATGGAAACCATGTTTTTGATGGTTTAGGATTCGAGAGAGAGAGAGAGAGAGAGAGAGAGAGGTTAATTTCAATTAGGAAAAGAATTAAAGGTTAAAAGTTTGATAAAATTATTTAAATTATATATTAACTCAAGTTGTTGTTCTTACCTGAACTAACAAGATAGGGCAACCAAGAATACCATCAGAGCCTGGGACGTTAAAAAGGAGTTCATCTAAGAGAGGACAAGGAGGTCGAATGGTGTCCCCGAGTTCCTCAAGCGTGAAATCAGCATCGGCTTCTATGAACAAGACACCTTCTCCATTACAATCTACCATAAGCTTTTTGTTTGGCCCTTCCCTCAGCCTACCAGCTACAGGGTAGTAATACACTAATGCCCTGCTTAGTGCGTCCCTAATCGCCGTAACGGGATCACCCTGATTTTCTTTGTTCCTGTAAGACAATATGAGTGGAAAATGAAACCTAGTGCCTTGCTGGTCGTCTACATCTGACAGCCGCTTAGTTTCGCGAGGAGTTGGCTTTGCCGGCTTTATGAGTTGTGGCTCCGACCGGTTTACCTGAAATGCGAGGGAGCTACACAATTCCGCCATCTCATATGGTCAACCCTTTTAGAGACTACATATACACTAGAGCTGCCTAAGCTTGACTACATATTGTGAGAGTGATTGGAGTAGCATTTATGTTTTGGACCACCCATCTCCGCCTGGTCCCCGTACATTAAAATGTATTTAGTTTGGCAGGTGATCGTTATCAAGTTACCATCATTGTTGTGAATTTGTGATAGTTAAGGCATGCGTACGTAGTATTGTGTGGTGAAGAAGCTTTGAGATAAATCAATAATTGAATTTCGACAAAAAAAAAATCAATAATACGATGGTTTCTTTGAGTGTATAATGGTTGGAGTAAGACACACTAGTAAAAAAAAATAGCTTGTGTGACGAAAAACATTTCATTGCCTCAGTGGTTCTTGTGCGATGAGAACATAGATTGGTCGCACAAAAATGGCATGATAAAAAAAAAAAAAAAAAAACCAAAAACTTTATGCAATGAAAATTTTCGTCGCGCACGTGTTTGTCATGCAAAAAAAAAAAGCAGGAAAAATTTGTTTGCCACCAAATGTTTGTGTGACGAATATTTCCACATATTTGTCACGCAAGGTTTTACTGAAAACGGTCAGATGCCCTTAACTGCTCCCATTTAGTGTGCATTTATAACGCATTTTGCGCGACCAAGGGGTTTGTCGCACAAAGTGTTATGGGTTCTATATAAACCCTAGTTTTCAAAGGTTTTGTTTCAAAGACGATGGCCTATTTGGTTCCTTATTCAACGAAAAGTTGTGAGGGAGAAGGCTCTTGCAAAGGGAAAGGTAAAAAAGAAATTTATTGTTGAATTAGTTGGCTTATATTTGATATGGTTGAATTTTTTTATTTTTTTTTAATAGTCTATTTCTTTCAAAATTTTGGGGTAGAAAAAGAAATGAGGAAAGTTGTGTTGCGAATAGAGAGGTACTTGAAAATGGTGCCTGAGGAGTTGAAGAAATCCATGGTGAGGGATTTAACGGTAAATTTGTATTAAAAAATGTATAGTTATTTTTGTTAAAAAGTAGCATTTTTTAAATTACTAATTTATTTTTATTGGCATAAATACAAGTACATTGGGATGTTGATGAAACCGATGAGAAGCAATGGAAGTATCTGGATGACTTTTTCAATATGCATTTTCGGTAGTGGAAGTTTGATGTGGAGTAGGCTATGGAGCGTGGGGGAGTTCATGATGCCCCTGCTGATGCCCCGGAGGAGGAGGATTGAAGTTTATTTGTTTGTTTGTTTTTTTTTTTTTTAATGAAATTTGACGTTATGTTTAACTTTATTTAATAAATTTATGTTATATGGATGATTATTAATATTTACATTAGTTATAATATGCATTTGGGTTAATAAATTAATTTTATTAATTATTTTGGTAATGTTTAATTAGGTTTGAGTTTTTTATTTAGAGTAAAATAAAAATTTACATTAGTTAAAAAGGAAACGAAAAAAATGAAAAAAGAAGAAGAAAACTATGCATGTTGCGTGACCAATAGAGTATTCATTGCGCAACTTGTTTACATTAATTAATTATAAAGAAAACAAAATATTTAGACTTGTACGACGAATATATAGGTTCACCGCGCAAATGTGTTTTGCGCGATGAATACTATATTCGTCACACAAATGCAAAAGTAATCTTTATAATGTGACTTCAGCTACAAATGCAGAAACTGCAGAATCTGCCTCTGCACCTCCTGCCCCTTCGTTTTTCTTCAATTAGGCATCCGTCACTTCCATTTTCTCTCAATTTCATCATCTAATACTCCCTCCATCTTCTTCTCTAGGTTGATTGAGCTATCTTGGTGTGTCTGGTAAGCCTGTTTTTGTTTAGGGTAAAATTATTAATGTCAATTCATACTAACGCCATGAAATTCGTTATTTATAGAGATATTGTGTGTGATTAGCGATTAATGGAGAACGATTTGGAAGGTATTTTCTTCGTTTTATTTTAAAAAATATAAAAATAATTAAATTATGTTGTTATGTTTATATTATGTTGTGAAATTATATTTATATTATGTTGTTAAATTTGTACATGACGTACAAATATGTTATGATGTACGGAGTTAATTGTAATTAACTTCGTACCTGTATTTTTGTAGTAAAACTTAGTTTCCTATTCGAGGATTAGTTGGATTTCACGCGTGGATGTGAAAGCATGACTACGGTCCAATTAATTCTTGAATTGTCTCATTATTTGGATAGTTTAGGAATGCACAGTTATGGTCCATAGTTTATGGTTCAAGGATTAGGTTTCGGTTGTGGGGATTTCGGTGTCATCTCTATACGTTCTCTGAGTGGCACATAGGTATTTCATATCTACGTTGTCTATCTAAAGAACTGTATAGTAGTGTTCTAGAAAACGGCTTAGGCGCGGGATGGTGCTGATTCGAGGTGACTTCTTGCTAATCGGTTGGAAAAATCGGCTGGGCTCTAGGCGGCCTAGGCGGTTCCTCACCCTCATACATATAAAAAAAAAAAAAAAAAAAACAAAAAAAAAAGTTTGTGTTAGTCTTCTTACTTTTTCTGTCTCTAATCATCAAATGGATACATATTCAACAATGGCAGGGGTGATGCTTACTTCTGTGGGAAGAGTGGAGCTTCAATGTGCCACCATTTCCATGGTAAGACTCGCTGGTTTTGGTTTTTGTAGAGAAGATTGACTATTGTGAGCAGCTAAAGATTAGTGGGTGTATTGAAATGAGAGAGGAGGGTCAAGCATTGGAGCTAAAATGGTAGATGAGGAGCGGCTAGGGTTCTTCATTATAGGGAAATGAGAGCTATTTGGTTTTTATTTTTTATTTTTTTTAATTTTATATTTAAATCTTAAAGAGAGAGAGGTATGAGAGAAATGGGAGAGAAATGGGAGAGAGGGTCGAGTGAAATCTGAAATGAGAGGGGTTCTGCTATTTGAGAGATATCTCTCATATTCTAGAGAGAGAGGCTTATAATTTCTAAAAAGCAATAAAAAATGGGGGCACATGACACTATTTATTTAAAAATAATTTCTTGCATTACTATAACTTTGAATGAGACTAAACATAGCCCATTCGATTAGAGATGACTTTAGATAGCCATTTAGATAGCCATTCGGGTTGCTTCAAAGAGGCCTTATCTATCTGTTGGCCCAATTGAATAATAATACCGCACTAATACATATCAAATCCGATCGTCAAACTTAGTTCAAATTGTTTCAGTATTCCTTAGTTTCAGCTAGGGTAGTCCTATTCTTGAAATCTAATTTTCTATTTATAATTCAATTGCATATGTATACAATTTCCGGACTACAAAACTAATTTTGGTAACTCTAAACCACTGTCAAAGGGTACTCCTATTCTTGAAATACATTAATCTCCGCTTATGAAGTTCCTAACAGTAAATTTTTCAGCATCCGCTGCACTCCTTACTACGTGATAACCAAGCCACTTGACCCTCCCGCATGTATAGGCACCACCTCAGGAGTTCATGTACTCCCCATAGTAAAGTGTGGACAGGCCAACACTTCCATTCCACGGCATCCGACCAGCAGGATCCACCAATCCGTTCAAAGTACTCTTCATGATCACCGTCCTTGAGTACACCCACAACGCCCAGCCAAATATGTTCGGAAAGAGAGTTGCACATGTCTTAAATCTTCAGCGGCCGTGACATGGCAATTGTGAATAACAATGCAAGTGAACTGATCAGATACTCCCTAGATTGCAAATCGTCACCACATTCACTTGATTTTTCATAGGTCTTCTCACGTATATATATGCTGCAGTTTTGGAGCACGACTGCGGCGTTGCCAAAAATAAAATATGTCGTCCCGTATATATCACAGTCATGATAGAACTATGATTGGCGTTTCACGTATAATGTATCTTGATAGCCTTTGTAGCTACAACAGTAAAACACCGCTTGGTTGGTGCCATAGCGCATTGCGACAGCTTGGTCGGGTCCGGCGGTGTTTTCAAATGTCATGTCTTGAGCCGTAAAGCCGTCCCCGCTAAACCTTATGTTTTAAGTGAATGAAAAAGTGATCATTTTACAAGTGATTAGACATACTAGGAGAAAACAACTTGGATGAGATTGCAGATTATGAAATGTCATGTCTTGAAGTTTAGGGTTTAGGTGAACAAAAACTTGCATCCCCGCTAACCTATAGAAAATAAAGTCAGACTTGATCAAGCGTACAAAGGAATATTGCTAAAAATAAGCCTACCAAAATTATGCACCATTTCAACAGGTATCTGCCAAAACTATATAAAGTTTCAGCAGATAGCTACCGAAGGAGTTCATATTTTTTAGTAAGCTCCAACTTAATAATACATAAAAAAAAGAAAAATGACACTATTTAATATTTCAACACGTATCCACTGAAATACCTTACAATTTAACGGTTAGTTTAACTCTGATATGATGATTGTTTACAGCTACACTCCTCGACCTTGTAAGAATACAATGAATGAATTTGATCTTCAATTTAAAATATTGCACTAGTGGATATCACAAAATCTTATGTTTTACTTATTGGAAGTATAAAGTAACTTAGAAGTATTTGTTAAATCTATCAATTTGATGGGATATGCATTCTACGAAACTAGTTTCAACGATGCAACCATGTTTGTATATACTCCAAGATAGCATGCATAAAAAAATAAAAAAATAAAAAAAACATTTAGAGATTAGGTAATAGGACTCAAAATTTCGACGGGTATAAAGAAAAAAATCATGATTTAACGGCAAATTTAGCTCTGATTTGCATGATTTTTTTACTGATACACTCTTGACCCTATAAGATTACAATGAACAATGTCAATCTTCAATTTAAAATATTTACACTAGTGGCTACAAAATCAATTAAATTTATGTAGTTTCTTTTACGGCTTCTAGTTCCTCACAAATAGAAATCACATCTAACAATAGCTAACCACCCTATAAAATAGAGAAATTACTGTCGACGACCACTTGTTGCCCTTGGGAATAAACAATTACTTCTGACCTTTTAAGCACGCCGTTGAAAAAAGATATAACTATAGTAAAAACAAATTAAAAAAAGCAGAAGGTAATCAAAATTATACTTATCTAATCATGATTATTCATTAAATTCAAGTCTTGTACGTCTTCATACCAATTATAGTGAACAAAAATATATTAATTAA